CTGATGGCAGCCTTGGGGGAGGTGAGGCAGACAGTGAGCCTAGGCCCCGACGCCCGCCCACCCTCCCACCCTGGCGTCAGGGAGCCCACCACGGGGGCCCCGTCGATCTCATCGATGACCAGGCAGTTGGGCTTCCCGCTAGCACCCAGCACCGACTCCATCTGCGTCGCCGCCTCGATGCGTGTGCGGAAGACCTCGGGGCTGCGGTCGTCACTGGAACGGTGAGGTACGGGATCAGGGCGGCCAGTGTCCTGGGCAGGGGAGCCTCCCAAGACCAGGGCTGATGTCCCTACGCTGAGGCTGCCATGTGACGTGGCTGCGGTGACCCCGTGAATCCCGAGGAAGGACACATTTCCCCAGCCCACAGGCCCAGGCCACCCCCGCCCTCAAGACAGGAGCATCAGGAGCATCCACCCTCGGTCTCAGCTCCACAACCAGGACTGAAACACACCAGGACGGACGTGAGGGCCACCCACCTGGCGTTCATCTCCACCACAGAGTACCCCGCGTGCCGCGCGATCACGTGTGCCAGGGTGGTCTTCCCCAGCCCCGGGGGCCCACACAGCAGTGCCACCTGCAGCCCAGGGAGACAGAGATGTGGTGTGCCCCACACCCACAGAACGCGCCCGGCCAGCGGCCAGGAACGGCAACGAGTGCCCCACAGGCTGGGCGCTCCCCAGCCCACCAAGAACAAAAGTGGCCACGTTCACGCACCAAGAAGGCAACAGAAAAAACCCCATGCAGAGTAAGGTTTGTGCAGACGAGACACAGCTTGTACCCACGTGCCCAGCCCCCAGAAACCACCCACCGTCCACCTAGATCATCCTGGCCAGATGCAGAGCCTTCGGGGGCACTGACTTCCCTCGAGCTGTCACTGAAACAGATTCCAGTTCTAACTGGTACTAATTGTGTTTCACACCAAGACCCTCAAGTCACCACACCCAGCCTCCTAGAAAAAGCCGGAACCCGAAGGCTGCGAGGGTGCCAGACATCAAGTGCAAAGCCTCAGGCTTGGTGCTGGTGCACGGCTGGCCGGACTCACCTTGTGCCGCGGCCGCTGGCACGAGTCCAGTCCGGCCTCCAGCATCTCCTCCAGCACCTGCTCATGGCTCTTCCACTTGCCTGGGGCTATGGCCTCCTTACTGGCCCGGGCCGGCTCAACACTGGGCCTGGGCTTCCGGGCAGGCCTCTCGTGGCCAAACACCACCAGGTCCCACAGCTTCAGCCACTTGAGCAGGCAGCGGTTAGTGAACTGAGGGAGGGGACGCACAGCCTGAGGGCACCGCCTCCAGGCAGGGGGAGTCAGCCTGCCACTGTGAGCCCTGGGACCCCAGTGGGACACCCAGCCTCAGGATGAATGGCCATTGCAGGTGAGTGACTGAGAGGCTCATAGCAGGCGCTCCATCCCCAACCCGTCTGGGAGGCCCCTGCCCTCCCCAGGGGCGCCCCAGTGTGGGCTGCTGTGAAGGTGGGAAAGGGGACAGAGGCTTGGATCCAGGGACAACCTGGATCCCCGGCCCGGCTCACAGGTCACGGGAGGCCAGCAGCGCACAGCCCTGTGCTCAGCTCCCCGCCTACAGCTCTAGGGGCAGACCAGCATCCCCACTCCATCTCTGAGGCCCAGCGAACTGGCCGTGCAAAGACCAGCAGGCCCAGGTTCTTCCCTCGTGGGAACAGAGGGAGCCAGTCACACTTGAGCGAGAATAAGACCTCACGTCATCACTGAGCAGCTCCGTGTAGTGCCGGGGCGCAAACTCATCCACCCAGAGGCAGTGGGGGGCGGCGTCTTGGCTGGCAGCCAGCTCCTCCTCGGGGGCCCCCAGAGGCTGCGCTGTCTCCTCCTCCCCTGACCTGAGGCTGGAGAGGACCCTGTCCTGAGCCACAAACCCCTCACAGGGAACCATGCTGACCCACACCCCACAAACACGAGCTAGGAGTTGATGCAAGAGCCCAAAAGGGTGCCCTGGGCAGAAGGGCCGGCCAAGTCACCTGTGCAGGGTGTCTGAGAGCTGCTGGGCCTCCTGGAGCAGCTGCCGGCGCCGCTGTGCAAACACAGGCTGGGATCAGGAGAGTTCAGGCGGCCCCAGCACCCCCCCAACTCCCCAGCAAACCCTCAGCCCCAACCTCGATGTCGACCTGCTCCTTCAGGGAGGCGAAGGACACACCCAACAGGTCCAGCTGGCCATCACCTCGCCATGGGACATCGGGGAGAGGACTCTGTGGGGAAGGGAGGGACACAGTTGCCTCTGGAGCCTTCCCAGGTCAAGCGGTTCACCTCAGCCCCCATCAGCGCTCAGGGACCCAGGTGGGACCACCCCAGGAAGCTGGCCAAGGGGTGGGTGGGAGACTGGGCAGGGGGGCCAAAGGAAGCCACCCAGATGGGGCATCTACAGAGGGAAAACGAGGGGCAGCTTCACCAGGAAGGAGAACAGGGATGGCAAACGTGGGACAGGGAAGCAGGGAGGCCCTCTCCACCCCCAGGCCACGCAAACAGGCTGGACGGCAGCCCGGGGTGGGGAGGCTATATGTCCTCTAAGGCTGCACGCTGTGGGAAGAAAGTTGCCCAGGTGCCACGGCAAGACACTGAAGGCACAATCTGTCCCTTCAGTAATAAATGATTACTCAGATATAGCAACGCACCAAACAAACTGGCTGATCAGTTACGACACAACGAATGATTACTCACAGAAATGACACAAATTAGATGCTAACTTCAATTACGTAATCAATCTTACTACATCACTATTCTCTATTAATCTTTGCTGTAAGAAGATTTTTAGTCCTATAAAAGAGACATAATCGAGTGAAACATAATTAGAAACTAAAAGGACGTTGTCAGAACTGATCAGGAGGCTAGAGCCTTGCGGTAGTGCCGGCACCTGGGAAGGCGCCTGTTACTTAGCAGGCCATGAGGGGGAGTCTCCCTCTCACTGGGGAGTTCAGAGAACACTGCTCTGTCTGGCTCTCGAGGAAGGTCTGACACTAGCCAGGCCGGCCTGCAGACATCCGGGGGCTTAAACACCTCTTCGTGGAGCTGTGCTCCGACGGTCACCATCCTTGTCCACCTTCATGTTTCACCTTCCCACCCGATGCGCCCTTGTAAATTCTTAGAAGCTGTGAGAAGCAGGTATATAGGAATCCTAAAAAGCCTCTGATCTCTCTGATAAGTGCATAGAAAGAAACCAATACATGCGCCTCCGCTCCTTGCACCAGCTACCTGAGAGGGAGGGCCCCTCTGCACAGTACCCACGGGGCCCAGTCTTGTAAGAACGTGATTTGCTTGACCCCTACCAATCACGTCAGATAATTCACTCTTCCTACCCTGCCCCCTGCCTCGGAGACGATAAACATCAGCGTCCAAGCATTCGGGGCCACTGCTGGACCAGCTGAGGTCTCTTATCTCTGCATCTGGCATCTCTCTTTTCTACCATCTATTGTCTCTGCACACAAAAGAACACCCGCTAGACCCTTCGGGGCTGGACCCTGCAGCAGCCCACGAAGCAGCCTGCCCTCTACAGCCCCTGGCGGTGTGCACAGGACCCGCCTTAAGCAAACAGCACAGGTGAGGGCTGCCAGGACCCTTTCCTGAGCAGCACCAGCCCATCCACCATTCGGGAAGCCCACAGCCACCGGCGGCCCCAGGCCATGGACTTGTCGCTGCACGCACCGGCACCCCTGTGCCCATGGGGTCAGTACGCAGCACCAGAAAGGCCCGGACGCCCTCCGTGGATGTCACGTGGACATAGTCCTCGAAGATGGGGGGTCGTCTCAGGACAGGATTTCGGGGGGCTGGTGAGACCTGTGTAAGACCCACGTCAGCAGCAGCATCTGAGGCTCTGGGGAGAGACCAGGAATCAGTGGCAGAAACTCAAGCCTTGGGTCACCAGTGGTCACATGAGTCCGATGCCACCCTGAGCCACGGAACCCTTCCCATTCCCCAGGCCCTTCCAGGAAACAGGAGGGCTCCATCTGAGTCCCACAAGACAAACGGGGTGGGACACCGGTATGCAAGCCACACACCCACGGCCCCACAGCTCGGCGAGGTCCTCAGGGCTAGGCGGAGGGGTGACGTCCCTTGGTGGGGTGTCGGGTGGCGGCGGCCCCTCCAACTCCTCCGACCTGAAGTTCAGCTTCTTGACCACCTGCAGCCTGGGCCGTTTGATCCTGGGGCCTGCGGGAGACACAGACAAGGAACCAGGGGCCTCCCAGCCTCGCGCCCACCCCGAGGCCCTGGGGCCACGCCGCGACCTACTGCGGGGCGGGGATCCGGCCGGCTGCGGGCCCGCGTCCACCTGCCTCTTCCGGGCGCGGCCCCGGCTGCTGCCCGGAGAGGCGGCTGCGGCGAGGCGGGAGGCCGCGTCCCCTCCCGCGAGGGCCTCCTCGAACGTCCGCGGGGGCCGGCCGGCAGGGGGCGGGGGCACTCCGGAGGGCGATGGCGTCGACGCCCCTGCTGGGAGAGGAGGTTCTCGGCGGCCGCCCCGGGACAGATCCCGCCAGCGGCGGCGACGAAGCCCTTCGGCCCCGGCACGCACCCCCGAGGTGGTCTCCGTCCCGGCTCCGAACCGGGGCTGCGCGGCCTCGCCGCCTCCGGAGCCGTCCCTGACGGGGGCCGCGCCCCACCTTCCAGCTCGGCCAGCACCTCCAGCTCGGCCGCGAACTGGCTGTGGAAGTCATCCTCCACGCCGCACAGCTCCCGCTCGTAGTCCTCCATGCCGTCCGCGACACCCAGCTCCTGCTCCGAATCTCCCGCGCCGCCGCCGCCGCCGCCGCCGCCGCCGTGCGCCGCCCGCCCCGAGCGTGCCGAGTGACGCCAATCAGCGGCCGGCGTGCCCAACGGCGCTTGCCATTGGTAGGCGGGGCGGAGGCGGGGCTGAGGGCGTCGTGGGCGGGGCGAGAACCTGATTCCCAGTCGCCGCGGCTGGCCCTGGGGAGCTTGCCATTGGCCGGCTCAGCCGCCCTTCCGCGGCGGGGGCGGGTCGGGGGCGGGGCTGCGCGCGCAGCGGGGCAGGGCGGGGGCGCTGCCAGGCGTCCGGAGCGGCGGTTCCAGGATCCCTGGGTAGCTAGCGCGCGGGCGCGGGGCTGGAGCCGGCGCCCGGCACGGCATCGGGGGCTTGGACGGCGCGGCCCCGCAGCAGGTCGGCCTTGGCGTGGGCGGGGGCGCGGGAGGGGCTCGGGGCCGGGGTTTGCCCGCACACCGGGCCTGTGCGGGGCGCGGGTATTCACGGGCTGCGGGGAGAGAGGAGGCCCCAGCCCTACCCCGAGCCCCGGGCTGACCTGGCTGCTCGGCCCCAGGGTTGCTGCAGCCCCTCCCCGCCCCCGCCGTCGGGCAGAGGCCGCCACGTGCATTCCCTGGAGAGGAGGGTCTATGGGGGGACTCTGCGGGGCAGGCTCGGAACGGCCGTTTCTCCGGGCTTGTGTCAGTCAGGGCTCCTCTGGTGGGTCCCGAGCAGGCTGACTCCCCGGCCTCACCGCGGGGAGTGGGTGCAGGTGCACAGTAGGTCTCCGGGCCTGGCCCGGTAGCTTTGCACCGGAGCCCGGGGGGCGAGAACGTCTGTGGGTTGGGCGCCTCCCACGTGCTCACGGCACACCCACCCACGCGTGGCTCAGCAGGCCTGCCATGGAGCCGGGCAGCGTGGAGAACCTGTCCATCGTGTACCGCAGCCGCGATTTCCTGGTGGTGAACAAGCACTGGGACCTTCGCATTGACAGCAAGACGTGGCGGGAGACCCTGACCCTGCAGAAGCAGCTGCGGCACCGCTTCCCGGAGCTGGCCGACCCTGGCACCTGCTATGGATTCAGGTACGCGGGTGGCCGGAGCCCCACCGCAGCGTCTGTGGAGGGAAGTGGCTCAGACGCTGGACTCTGCCCCACCCCAGGTTCTGCCACCAGCTGGACTTCTCCACCAGCGGGGCGCTGTGTGTCGCCCTGAACAAGGCAGCCGCCGGCAGCGCATACAGGTGCTTCAAGGAGCGGCGGGTGACCAAGGCTTACCTGGCACTGGTAAGACCTGGTCGGTCCGGAGGCGGGGCGCGGGGACTCAGGCCTCCCAGCGCACTTGGGCAGGCCCTGGCTCAGAGCATCCCACTGCTCGATACGTGGCTGCCTGTTGTTAGGTGGGCTCCCTAGCAGTGGCGGGCTGTCGTGTGAACTGCGTGTGATCCTCCCCACCCTGCAGCTTCGGGGGCACATCCAAGAGAGCCGGGTGACCATCAGCCATGCCATCGGCAGGAACAGCACAGAAGGCCGGGCCCACACCATGTGCATTGAGGGCACGCAGGGTGCGGCAGGCAGGGACCAAGTGGGTGGGCATCATGGGTTGTGGTGGGCCTGGATGGGCAGGGATCAAGCGGTGGACGTGCTGGGTTGGGGTGGGCCTGGATGGGCAGGGATCAACTGGGCAGGCATCGTGGGTTGGGGTGGGCCTGGTCCCCGGGCTGGCCCCGCTGACCGCACCCCTGCCTTCTGCACACCCCAGGTTGTGAGAACCCAAAGCCAAGCCTGACGGAGCTGGTGGTTCTGGAGCACGGGCTGTACGCAGGCGATCCCGTCTCCAAAGTACTGCTGAAGCCACTCACAGGTGTGTCTGGGGTGGGTGGTGTCCCGATGGTGACGGAAGGGAAACAGAGACACAAGCCCATGTCGCCTGTGTTGGGTCACCCTGAGCCTCAAGTCAGAGTTGGCAGCAAACCTCCCCGTTCGCAGCTCCACGCCCTGCAGCCTCTCAGCCTCTTACCTGACATGGGCTCCCTGCTGGTTCCTGACAGTGCTATGGGGTCTGGCTGGCCTGGATCCTCCAGGACCGAGTACCACCCTAGTCATCTGTCCAGAACACTGCCATCCGGCCCTCGGCAGGGGACAGGGAGAGCTCTACCCCGAGGGGCGCTGCCGCCCCCCGCTGACCACGCTGCTCTCCCCGCAGGTCGGACGCACCAGCTGCGTGTACACTGCAGCGCTCTGGGACACCCTGTGGTGGGAGACCTGACCTATGGGGAGCCCTCGGGCCGGGAGGACCGGCCGTTCCGAATGATGCTGCACGCCTTCTACCTTCGCATTCCCACGGATGGCGAGTGTGTGGAGGCCTGCACGCCCGACCCCTTCCTGCCCTCCCTGGACCCCTGCTGGAGCCCCGACACCCTGCTGCAGCCGCTGGACCAGCTGGTGCAGGCCTTACGGGCCACCCCTGACCCTGACCCCGAGGATGGGGCCCCTGGACCCGGCCGGCCCCCGCCACCCCCCACCAAGCCCCCTGAGACCGAAACACAGCGAGCCTCCTGCCTGCAGTGGCTGTCGGAGTGGACGTTGGAGCCAGACAGCTGAGAGCTGTGGGGCCGGGGCGGGGATGGGGGTTGGGCCAGCAAGCATATGGTCACCGGCTCTGGGGCCTGGAGGTGCCAGGGAACTCGGGGCCAGCTGAGCTGCCCCAGCCAGGACTGCGGGGAAGGACTGAGGAGGGGCCAGCAGGGGGCGCCAGGCATCCCTGGTCGCCGGCAAAGAGGGCACTGAGACTGCGGGGCTGATGGGGAATCCGAGGGCCTCCCTCCCCACGTGCCCCAGGAGAAACCCCAAGGCTGCTGCCACCTCCTGGAACAGCTTCCAGCTCCCAAGCTTCACCCCCGGGGTATCTGTTTTATCGACTCAAGGTCACTCCCATAAGAGGAAGTGCCTGGTTTAGGGCTAGCCTTTGCCTCCAGTTGGGCCCCTCCTGGGCCCAGTCAGCTGCTGGCCCCAACCTACCCACTGGAGGGGCTGGGAAGGGCCTTTCTGGTCTCACCTGGCCTGGGAGACCCTGCGTCCTGAAGGTCCCTGCGTCCTGAAGGCACTGCCCCTCACCGCTCTGTGCAGAACCTCTCACCCTCAGCCGCCGCCTCCTGAAACCCAACGCTCCCCGCTGGGCCGGGGTCTGCAGGCCCGGCTGCATGTGCCTTGGCCTCACTGTACCCGTGGCTCCCCCTCCTCCGCCCGGATTCTGAGCTTAGGGTGGTGTTTGCTGCACAGGTGTTGGTCGGGGGGCCATGGCCGAGGCCCTGCGGCACACGCCTGTCCTTACATCCACCATGAGCACTGCCCCTGCTGCAGGGTCTCCCAGGCCCCAGCTGCTGTCCCTGCCACGTCAACGCCTGCCTGGCTCCCACTCTGCCTCCGTGGGCCTGCCAGGTCCCACCTTTTCTGTACCCCATGCTCAGCCCCAGTTCCTGGCTGCAGTGGGGTTCTAGGAACTCCAAATAAATGCTCAGTGACTGGCCCCAAGGGTGACCGTGAATGTGTCCAAAGTGGGGGTTCCAAGGGACAGGTCTGGCTCCCCAAACCCGTTTTAGCTGCCTTCCTGCACGTCCCTGCCCTGAGGCCACCCAGCAGGAACCGGGAGAGACGCAGTGGTCCTGGCTGCCATCGGCCCCTCCCCTACACAGCAAGCACCCGCAGCCTTGGCCTGGGCAGACCTGGGGCAGGCCCCAGACAAACCCCAGCTCCCACAAGCAGAACCACAGAAGCACCTGGCTGCGCCAAGCCAGGGACCCTCATGGAGCCCACGCCCGCGTGTCAGCTCAGGCGTGGGCCCCCAACTGTCAGAGGTCTGCGAGAGGGGAGTCTCATGCCCCAGCACCGGTCTGAGGTCCGCCTGGCCCCTGCCTGCCACCATTCAGCTCCGGGGCCAGCCCTGAAACCCTGGTTAGGACCTCGGCAGTGGCAGCAGCAGAGCCTGCACCCAAGGCAGCTACCCACCAGGACTCTGAGCCGAGATGCAGCCTACTGCCCTGGGCTCACTGCTGCCATGCCCCATGCCTCAGTTTCCTCGTCCATAAAGGGAGGGGCTGGAGCAGATCCAAAGAGGCCACCTGAGCCTCAAGTGGCACCAGTCGGGCCACCCCAACAGACGGCAGCAGCGAGGGCCTCCCAGCCAGCATACCCATCACTTCCCAGGCCACGCACTGGCCGGCTCCAGGACAAAGTCACCCTCGGGTGCCCATCCCCAGCCTCCCAACCCGCCATGCTGTCTTGTCTCCTGGCTTCCTCCTGGTCCTCCTCTGAATCAGCCCAAGTTGGAGCCAGGCATGGCTGCCCTCTCCAGCTGGGATGGTCTCCCCACCCCGCCCCACTGGACCCCACCCTCTAGACTGGGGGCTGCTGGCCTCACTGCTGCTCACTGTGACAGGTTGTAGCAGTCAGTGCTGCTGTGTCCAGCTGGGCTGGCCCAGCTAATGGCCAGCGAAGGAGCCTTCGAGGCCAGTCCTGAGCTGGACCCTCCTGAACAAGCCAGGCGTGAGCGCCGCGCCTCATGGTGCCTGCACCTCGCTGTCAGTTCTCCAAGGGGCACCTTGGGTTCCCGTGGGTCTGTGCAGCCTGGGGAGCGGTTACCCACCTGCCCCCTGCTGTCAGCCCCCGAATACCCGGATCAGGGTCAAGTTAGCTTGGCCGTGGGGCTGGCTTGGTGGTGCTGGGGGTGGTCATGCCACAGCTGACCTGAGCTGCAGGCCCAGGGGCTGAGCCTCTCCCAAGATAAGAGCTGAGGTGGGTGGGCCAGGCTGGGGCTCAGCAGGGAGCAGCCAGCAGGCTGTCCCGGTGGGGGGAGGTGCCCTGCAGGCGGGCTGGAAAGTCCCTCCTCTCTCCTCCCGACGTGGCCTGCCTAGTGGAGCCCTACACTGCACATGTGGGAGCACCCATGGAATGGCCACAGCCGTCACCATGTGCATGACATCCCTGCACAGGGACACATGGCGTATCCGTGTCCGTGCTCCGGGCACCCAGACCAGGAGGGCCGAGATGCCGACGTACGTGCCCCTGTGCACACACGAGCACCAGCAAACACGGTGGACTCAGATGCAGATGCACAACATAACCCCTGGGGTGCAGACGCTGCAGATCAGGGCCCCAGTGAGTAGGGAGGGGTGTGAGCTGGGCAGCTGCCAGCTGTGAGCTCAGCCCCCACTCAGGGAAGGGAGCAGGTGCCCGCTGTGCCTGAGGCCCCCCGAGGCTGACATGGTGCATCGCCTGGCACAGCCTGGGCCTCCCCCATGGGACTGCCTGGCAGACGTCACTGTGGGACTGGGGCTGGGCGGGGCAGGGCAGTCTCACACCTCCTGCAGGCCAGGCATGGACGCGAGCGGGGACCCTGACACCACACCCCACCCCGCCCCCCGCACATCATCTGCACCCGGGTGCTCAGCGCAGCGGCTGACGCACTTGGCGGACTGGGATTGCGTCTGGAGCACTTAGCCTGCAGCTCCCTGCCAGAGGCAGCCGCCCCATCGCCCCACCGCAGCCAGGGTTTCTGCTCAGGTGAGCACCACCAGCCTACCCACAGGGCAGTCCAGACACATGGCTGGGCCTGAGCCCCTGTATCTGCCTCTGCATGGCCCTCTTGGGCCACAGTCAGGAGGCCCAGAGGTGCCCAAAAGCCACGAAGCTGTGCCCAGGAGGAGACAGTGGTCCACAGCAGTACCGGGACCCCAACTCCTCCTGGGCCCCTGGTCTTGCAGCTTCCATTTCTAGTGGGGCCAAGTGACCCTGGCTGCCACGGGGGGCCAGATGTCAGCCACAGACCCGGACACGTAGGGCCGAGAGAGAGGGAGCTGCCCGGGCCTCTGGGTGTGGGGACGAAGCCGGGCTGCGCCAGGCTGCCTGGGGGACTCGCTGTTTTCGAGAGATCTGCTCATTGCAGACACCGCAGCCCGTGGGCCCCGAGCCCCGACCCACGATGAGAAAGACCCCAGGGTTTCCCCAGCTCCACTCCCCGCCGCTGCCTTCTGCTGTTTATGGGCTCCTTTCCCCTCAAAGGTGGGAGAGCCACAGCTCTGGCCCGGCCACCCCGTAAGCCTGGACTACACCCGCCATCTCTGCGGGCCAGGGGGTGGGAGGTGCAGTGGGGCCAGCCTGGTCTCGCCTCTCCAGCTAGTCCTGGACCCACCGCCTGTGGCCCCAGCACCTACCTGCCCCGGGACGTCTCAGCCAGGATGACCAGTGCTCACCGCCGCACAGACGTGGGTCCCGGAGTGGGTGAGACGAGACCTCCATGTGGAAGGGGGGCTTCCCGAGCACCAGGCCCGTATGGCAAAACCATCCCGCGGACGTGGGCGAGTCCAGGGCCCCGGCCACCCCACATCCCGAGTCGGGGTCTGTGCCAAGCCGAGGATTGGTGGGCCCCGCCCACCAGCAGCAGCCGCCTGGGGTGGGGCTGCCGGGGCACAATAAGCCCCGCCCCCCACAGCAGGCCTGGGGGTCCCGGTTGGGGGTGAGGCAGGGCAGGCAAGCCTGGCAAGAAGGGGCGACTCCTGGCCCAGACAGCTGCACGCGGCTTCTGGAGAAACGTGGGTGTAAGTGGAGACAGCCCAGCACAGGCAGGGCTGAGCTCTGAGGCCAGGGTGGAGAGGGACCCTGGCCACACCCACGGTCACCCAGTGCCTCACCCTCCCTGAGCGGGGCAGGCTGGGCCCAGCAGCCCAGGAGGCTGTGGGCCGATCTGTGCGGACTGTGGCGACGCCGGCTCCAGCTCCGCAGAGCCCTTGGACACTGGAGAAGAAACTCGGTCGCGTGGTCTGCCCGCCCCCGCCCCAGGGGCAGCAAGATAAGGGGGTCCTTCTGGGCTGGGTTTCCGAAGCAGGGACGTGGGCTAGGCCCCCAGTTCCTGCTGGCAGGCTGTGCCGTGACCCCACTGCACAGCGGAGCAGCTGAGGGCCTCGAAGGTGGCTTCCGCCCCCACAGCTCCTCTGCCCTTGGGGTCTCGGGGCTGCCCTGTGAGGACACAGAGCCAGGGGCGTCTGGTTGAGGAAGAAGGAGCTCCCACAGTGCGCCTGCCTCTCACACGTGTGCACACAACGTTGTACACGTGCATGGTCACACATGCACACGCACACACAAATGCACGCACGTACACATGCAGTCACACATGCGCACACATGCACACGCACACACACACACGCCTGCACGTCCGCAGCATCACGCCCGTGCTTGTACCACCACATACCCCGCACTCTGGCCCAGGCTGTGCACAGGTGGCCGGTGCTGTGTGGCTCCAGAAGTTCCTCCATGTTCTCTGGCCTCAAGGCCCATAGTGGGGGTCACAGGTCCACCCCAGGACCCAGGTGCCCCAGCTCCTGCTCCTGCCGGGCCCCTCACGGCCAGCCGTATTGCAGGTGTCCTGCGGAGCTCAGCCCTCACCTTCCTCCTGTCCCTCGCCGCCCACTGTTCTGGGCCCCAGGACAAAGGTCTTTGCCCAGGAGGGACGGATGCCAGCAGGGCCGACCTGTGGGCCAGGTGAGTGCGACCCTCCTGCAATCAGGGTTGGCTTCTCAGCCCAGCCAGGGGAGAGGTCTGAGGAGGGGGTGGGAGGGCTCTGGGGGTGGCCACCAGCAGTCTTCATGCTGGGGCTGTGATCTCCTGCTCCACTCCAAGGCTATAGGCCTTGGGGCTCCCAACCCAGCCGGGCCTGAACAGGAATCCCCCGCAGGAACAAGCACGGCCTGCCCACGGCCATGAGGGAGCCGGCTCCAGGAGTGGGGGACGGTCGGCGGGCAGCGCTGGCCAGGGCATCAGAAGGTGGGCTAGGCTCCACCCTCCTGCGTCCCAAGGCAACTGGGACTCAGACAGTGCCAGGGCACACAGTAGGCCCCAGTATATACTGGCTGTCACTTGGACAGGAGCCAGAGCCTCCAAGGACCCAGTGTCCAGTGCCCAGCTTCAGACCTACACAGCCGGGCGTGGGTCCCTTAGCCATCTCCGACGCCTCAACCCTCAGGCCCAGCCGCGTCTGCCCACCCCAGAGGACACTCTGCGCTTCCCCACACTGCCTGGAGGCTCGTGCTGGGCTTGGCCTTCCTCCCCGTCCCGCAGAGTTAGTGACAGTGCAGACTGGTCAGTTGATTAATCGGGGGCTGCGAGGCAGGGCGGGGGTCCTGAGTGGCACAAGGCCCCCTGTGTTCAGACTGGATTAGAGTCACACCACAAGGAAGGCTGGGGACATGGCTTCCCGGGGCCTCCCGGCAGGTGTCAAACCTCAGATGCCTCGGCAGCCAGTGGGGTGGTGGGGGAGCTTCCTGAGCTCCCAACCGGCTGGGACCCAGCCTCGAGAGGAAGTGCCACCCCAGGTCTGGGCAGGGTTGTGCATGCTGTGCAGAGCCGGGCCCCACAGGGTGCTCTGGAGAATGAATGAGTGAATGAAGCAGGATCCTGACTTCGTTGGGGGCACCACGTCCCGCTCTCCCTCCCTCCGTGCTGGGGGGTGGCAGAGTCTGACCTCGATCCTGCAGGCTGGGTGTGGCCTGCGCCCTTCCGCTGGGCAGCCCCCCTCAGCGACCTCCACCCTTCCTGGACTCTCCCCGCCACCATCTCCTCCTCTCTGCCCAGTGCCAACCGCTCCCAGCTGCAAGGCTTCTGGTGCCAGCCGGCCAGCCAGCTGCCCCGGGACCAGCTCTCAGCCCTGATCCGGAGGCTGGCCTCATTACAGGTGCCCCTCCAGGCCTGGCAGGTGAGCAGGAAGGCAGGCGGGTGGGTGGCTGAGGCTCTGAGGGGCCGGCCTGGATAGGGAAGGGGACATTGGCTCAGGTGTCAGAGGTTGGGGATGGGTAATGGAGAGCTGGGGCAGGCCCCGGGGTAACCACAGCCAGGACAGGGTGTTCGGCCCCCGGAGCAGGAGGAACATGTGGAAGCCAACTTCAAAGCCACCAGGAGGGGCTCACGCCTGGAATCCCAGCACTTTGGGAAGCCGAGGTGGGCGGATCACAAGATCAGGAAATCAAGACCATCCTGGCTAACCTGGTGAAACACCGTTTCTACTAAAAAATAAAAAATAAAAAAATTAGCTGGGCGCTGTGTGTGCGCCTGTAGTCCCACCTACTCAGGAGGCTGAGGCAGGAGAATTGTTTGAACAGGGGAGGCAGAGGCTGCAACAAGTGAGCCAAGAACAGGCCACTGCACTCCAGCCTGGGTGACAGAGAAAGATTCCACCTCAGAAAAAAAACAAAAAAAAAAAAGCCACCTAGAGTGTGTGTCTGTGAGCACCCAAGGACAGGAGTCCCCACGAGGCGGGTGGCTTTCAGGGGCAGCCACTCTCGTCCCCTTCCAGGGCTTCTTAGCCAACCTGCCTGTAGATGCTCCCACCTGTGTTCCCAGTGAGGAGGAGGGTGCGTCCTCCCCTCCCGCCCGCTGCCGCGGGGAACAGTGCCCGACTTGGGGTGCAGACTCTGGGCCCCCAGCGTGGATGTCACAGCCCACTGGCCTCTCCCTGCCCTGGGGCTTCAGATCCTGGGCTGTGAGAGGAGCTGTCCAGGCAAATGAGGAAAGGCAGAAAGACTCCCACCCCTTAACAGGAAAACCAGACAGTGCAATCCTTTAAAGAGGTTTATCCCGAGCAACGTGAGGGACCCTGGCCGAGGACACAGTCTCTAGGGACCGAGTGCACCCCCGTCAGTCGGGTTGCCGGTCATTTTTGTAGGCACTGGGGAGGCAGGGGTTACAAGCAAAGAGGTGGAGAGCACGGGGCGGCAGACATCAATCCGTTCCCCGGAAAAGGCAGGAGACCTCGAACTGGGGGCTTATCAGCCACCAGTGGACTCAGACTCATTTGTAACCGGTTAAAGGAATAAAGCGTCGTGTAAAACCTAGAGTCAGCAGATGGGAATGCTTCCAGTTCAGACAGGGAGGCCACAGCTTTAGGACGGAGGGGTGGCGGGATAGCCAGCAGGTTGCGTTTATAATTCGCTATCTTACTGCCAGAGTCTCTTTTTTCTCTCTTGTTTATTTTTGAGACAGAATCTCGCTCTGTCACCCAGGCTGGGTGCAATGGCAACATCTCTGCTCACTGCAACCTCCGCCTCCTGGGTTCGAGCGATTCTCCTGCCTCAGCCTCCCAGGTAGCTGGGATTACAGGCAAGCACCACCAGGCCCAGCTAATTTTTGTATTTTTAGTAGAGATGGGTTTTTACCGTGTTGGTCAGGCTGGTCTCAAACTCCTGGCCTCCTGTGACCCACCCGTCTCGGCCTCCCAAAGTGCTGGGATTACAGGTGTGAGCCACCACACCTGACCTTCCGCTTTTTAAAAACATTTTAAATTGTATTATGACTACTGAGACAAGATCTCACTCTGTTGCCCAGGCTGGGGTGCAGTGGTGCGATCTCAGCTCACTGCAACCTCCGCCTTCCGAGTTCAAGCTACTCTCCTGCCTCAGCCTCCCAGGTAGCTGGGATTACAAGAGCGCCAGCAGGCCCAGTTAATATTTTTGCATTTTCAGTAGAGATGAGGTTTCACCACGTTGGCCAGGCTGCTCTCCAACAGACCTTGAGTGATCCGCCTGCCTTGGCCTCCCAAACCGTTGGGGTTACACGCATGAGCCGTAACACCTGGCTTGTAGGAACAGGGGTCTCACTGTGTCAGCCAGGCTGGTCTCAAACTCCTGAGCTCAAGTGACCCCCCCTCGGCCCCCCAAAGTGCTGGTATTACAGGCATGGGCCGTGGGCTGGTCCTCAGGGACTGCACAGAAATCGGGCCCCTCCTCACAGGCACCGAAGTCCTGGGTGCTTGGCTGACATACAATCAGGGAAAGGGCCCTCCGAGAAATGGGCCAAAAACCCTTGAAATGACCTCAAAGCCAGGCTAGTCAAACCCAGGCAGGGGCGGCTGTGAGGCAGGCAGCGTCCTGCACAGGCTGAGAGGGTGAGTTGTCTCGGGAGCGTGGGAGGCAGAGGCCAGACCTGGCAGAGCCCCGGTGCCAGGAGGAGGCTGTCGGGCAGAGCGCAGGGGCACCACCCAGGGTCCAGCTGGGAAGCTGCCACAGGGCTGCCGGCCAGGGCACCGTGGGGCCTCCTTGCTGGGGACGGGTGAGGGTCTACACACTCAGCATCTGGAGACGTGATTTAATACCCTGTCAGTGGGGGGCCTGGTGTCGGGGAGGCAGCTTTGGGGCTGGGCGCGGCCATTCGGAGGCCTGCTCTGCTGTGCGGGTTCCTCTCCAGGCAGAGGGGTGAGCACAGGTGGCCGTGGAGAGGACCCAACATGTGGGACTGGGTCCTGAGGGCCTGGGCAGAGGGGAAGGGCGCCCACGGGCTGCCATGGCGAGTCCAGTGTGAACGGGGGAGTGACCAGCACCCTCCTGCCCAGCTCAGCTGCCTGGCCAACTTGGCGTCACGCTGTGGCCTCCAGGACGACTTCATGCTCCACCCACCCAGCCTGCTGCTCTTCTACAAGTGAGTGCCTGCCCCCAGCCAGGGCACAGGACTCCTGGGGACCCCAACGCCCCCAGGTCACCTCAGGGCTGCTGGGAGGTCCATCCCTGTTCCCCATGATGGCCTGACAGCCTCCCACCCACCTGCAGCCTGAGCCAGGTGCGAGCAGCCGACTGCAGGGCCTTCATCCGCCGTGCCGCCCAGGGGGACATGGAGCTGCTGGGCCATCTGCCTGACCAGAGGGTCGCCCTGTGGCGTGTGGCCCTTGCCTGCTTGGTGGGTAGTGGGTGGGGTGGGCTGGGATGTTTTGGGGTGGCCATGGCCTGCCTGGTGGGTGCCTGGGTGATGTGGGCCGATGCACATGGGGGCACCTGTGGCCTGCTTTGTGGGTGCTGGGTGGGGTGGGCTGAGGCACATGGGGAGGGGCTGTGGCTTGCCTAGTGGGTGTTGGGTAGGGTGGGCTGGGGCTCATAAGGGGCAGCCATGGCCTGCTTGGTGGCACCTGGGTGGGGTGGGCTGGGTGCATTGGAGGTGGATGGATCCCGCTGGGTGCTGACCTGCTGGCCCTGCAGGGGGGGCCCCTCCCTCGGCTCAGAGCCTCTGACCTGCAGCTGCTCGGGGTCCTGGTGTGTGACATGGACGCATCCAGCATCGCCACCACAGACCCCCGTGTGCTGGAGAACCTGCAGCACTGCCCCCAGCTCACTGCCGACCAGCGCACTGCCCTCAACTCCCTGCTGGCTGGCGGGAGGACCCGGCTCGGGTGGGTGGGGTCACAGGGCCAGGCAAGGAGAGGGGGGCGAGATGGGAGGCAGCCTGGGGTTGGGCCCAGGAGGTCACTGATGTCCATAGCCCATTAACTTGTGACCTCTGGCCTCAGCCTCGCCGGGTCCTGCAGCCAAGGGGGCAGAGGGTTGGGGTGCTGCCACCTGGCTGTGGGGGGAGCGTCCCAGCAGGCCCTGTGCACTTCCTGTGGGTGCCGGTCAGGGGGCTGGGTGGTCAAGCACCTACTGGGTGCTCCTCCTGCATGCTGGATGTCAATGGAGAACGAGGGTCTCCCGGGGGCTGGGGCCTCGCCCTGGACCCAACACAGCACCCCTTTCTGTGCACCAGGCCCCCTGGCTCCTGGACGGTGGAGGAGCTGCAGGCCCTGGGCCCCCTGGCTACTTACATCAGCCCCCGCCTGTGGGCGCAGGTACAGGAGGTAGGACGGGTCCCTGGGGTGGGCACAAGCGGGCAGTGGCACCAGGGCCCAGGCCACCCACCTCAGCCCACCCCTTCCCTGCCAGGCCGTGGGCCTGGGCTTCTTCCACAGCGTGGTGGCTGCTTGCCGGTCGGGGAGGCTCAGCCGGCATGAGGTCAGGCACTTCGTCTCCAGCTTCCTGGAGTCCAAGGCCAAACCAGTGTCCTCGAGGCGCAGGCTCCCCAGAGGTCAGTATGGCGCCCGTGGCCTGGGATGCTGCTTTTCCCCAGTCCGGCTCCTCCCTCGGGCCTGGCTGACTTCAGAGAAGTGGTTTGGGCCAAGTTCTTGGTTAGAAGTCAGGGAGAGGCAAGGTCTGACCAAGGTCAGAAGTGGAGGAAGGCGTCAAAGAGGGACCCTGGGCCAGGCATGGTGGCTCACGCCTGTAATCCTAGCACTTTGGGAGGTCAAGGCAGGTGAATCACTTGAGGTCTGGAATTCAAGACCAGCCTGGCCAACAAGGCGAAACCCCGTCTCTACTAAAAATACAAAAATTAACCGGGCATGCTGGCAGGCGCCTGTAATACCAGCTAGTTGGGAGGCTGAGGCGGGAGAATCGCTTGAACCCTGGAGGCGGAGATTGCAGTCAGGCGAGATTGCACCACTGCACTCCAGCCTGGACAACAGAGCAAGACTCTGTCTCAAAAAAAAATGGCGGCGCGTGGTGGCTCACTCCTGTAATCCCAGCACACTTTGGGAGGCCCAGGTGGGTGAATCACTGAATGACCTGTGGTCAGGAGTTCAAGACCAGCCTGGCCAACATAACAAAACCTCACCTCTACCAAAAATACAAAAATTATCTGGGTGTAGTGGCAGGTGCAAGTAATCCCAGCTTTTTGGGAGGCTGAGGCAGGAGAATCGCTTGAACCCAGGAGATGGAGGTTGCAGTGAGCCGAGACAGCAACACTGCACTCCAGCCTGGGCGACAGAGCAAGACTCCGTCTCAAAAAAAAAAAAAAAAACAGTATGACGGGGCCCGAAGCTGGCTGTGGCGATTCGCCCAGCCCCGGTGACCGGCCAGGGCCCCACACACCCCCAGGGAGAGCGTGCGTCCGAGGCCGCATCACAGCCGCAACGCTGCAGGACAACCTCTTCCTGGTGCACTATGACTGTGCACAGCTTGAGTCCTGCCTGGACAGCCGCGTCCTCACAGCCAACCTGGACCCCCTGCTGCAGCACCCGCTCCCCACCGAGTGCCAGCGTGTGGTCAAGGCCAAGCTCACACAGGTGCACGGCCGGGCTGCAGGGACGGGTAGGCCACAGGTGCCGTGCCTCGGCTGACCTTGCCTGGCCCTGCCCCCTGCTCAGATCTACCCTGGAGGCCTCCCGGAGGACCAGCTGCGGCTCATCAGCTCACTGGTCTACCTGTACTCAGGCGCCGAGATTGGCCAGTGGAACATCACCTCCAGGGACACGGTTGTGGCTCTGCTGGCCTCAGACGTGGCCCTGGAGAACCAGACGGAGGTGAGGGCACCGGGGTAGGGGGGCACGGGTGGGCAGGCGGGCGGCCCAAGCCCCAGTCCGCCCCACTAGCCCTGCCCCTGCCCCCAGGCTGTGCTGCAGAAGTTTCTGGATCACAACGGCACAGTCTCCAGCGCCTTGCTGCTGGCCATTGGGGGTGCCCGCCTGTGCTGGATGAGTCCTCAGCAGATCCAGACCATCCGTCCCCAGGAGCTCCGGTGAGCCAGCCCCCACCCCCCACCACCTCAGACCCAGGAGGACCATGAGGGGAAACGGAGGCCACGGAGGGCGGTCCAGCCAGGCCATCGAGGGTGCCTGGGCTGGACTCTAGCTTCAAGCAAAGTACACAAACTGGGTGATTTTTTTTTTTTTTTTTTTTTTTTTTTGAGGTAAGAGTCTCTCTGTGTCACCCAGGCTGGAGTGCAGTGGCACAATCTCACCTCACTGCAACCCCTGCCCACTGGGTTCAAGGAATCCTCCCACCTCAGCCTCCCGAGTAGCTGGGAGGAGTAGCCACCATGTCCAGCTAATATTTATATTTTTAGTAGAGACAGGGTTTCACCACGTTGGCCAGGCTGGTCTTGAACTCCCGACCTCAAGCGGTCCACTCTCCTCAGCCTCCCAAAGTGCTGGGATTACAGGTGTGAGCCACCACACCCGGCCGAATTGGGTGATTTTAAAGAGAAATACACTCCCTCAGTTCTGGAGAACAGAGGTCTGAAACTGGGTGCTGGCAGGGCCCCACACCCTCTGAACCCCGCAAGGATGCACCTTCCTACCTCCTCCAGCGTCTGGAGGTTTGTCGCCCCTCAGCTTATGGACGCATCACTGAGCCATCTCTGCCTCTGTGCTCACACTGCACTCTCCCCCATCGGAGTCCACATTTCCTACACTGTTTTGAGACAGTCTTGCTCTGTCGCCAAGCTGGAGTCCAGTAGCGCAGTCTCAGCTCACTGCAACCTCCAACTCCCAGGTTCAAGCGATTCTTCCGCCTCAGCCTCCCAAGTAGCTGGGACTACAGGCGCGTGCCAAACGCCCGGCTAATTTTTTATTTTTAGTAGAGACAGGGTTTTACCATGTTGGCCAGGATGGTCTCGATCTCTTGACCTCATGATCCACCCGCCTTGGCCTCCCAAAGTGCTGGGATTACAGGCGTGAGCCACTGCGCCTGGCCTTCCTATTCTTTTTTTTTTTTTTAAGAAACAGGGTCTCACTCTGTTGCCCAGGCTGGCCTCGAACTCTGAGCCACCACACCTGGCCCTCGCATTTCCCTTTTTTTTTTTTTTTTTTTTGAGACGGAGTTTCGCTCGTTACCCAGGCTGGAGTGCAATGGCACGATCTCGGCTCACCGCAACCTCCGCCCCCTGGGTTCAGGCAATTCTCCTGCCTCAGCCTCCTGAGTAGCTGGGATTACAGGCACGTGCCACCATGCCTAGCTAATTATTTGTATTTTTAGTAGAGACGGGGTTTCACCATGTTGACCAGGATGGTCTCGATCTCTTGACCTCGTGATCCACCCGCCTCGGCCTCCCAAAGTGCTGGGATTACAGGCTTGAGCCACGGCGCCCGGCCTGCATTTCCCTTTTTGTTTTAGTTTTTGTTTCTGAGATGGAGTCTCACTCTGTTTCCAGGCTGGAGTTCAGTGGCATGATCTCAGCTCACTGCCACCTCCATCTCTTCCCCTGGGTTCAAGTGATTCTCCTGCTTCTGCCTCCCAATTAGTTGGGATTACAGGCGCCTGCCACCACATCTAGCTAATTTTTGTATTTTTAGTAGAGACTGAGTTTCACCATATTGGCCAGGCTGGTCTCGAACTCCTGACCTCAGGTGATTCGACCGCCTCGGCCTCCCAAAGTGCTGGGATTCCAGGTGAGAGCCCTGCCCCTGGCCCTCAGATCTCCCTGTTCTTATTTGGACCCCTGGCATGGGTTTCGGGCCCAGGTAATCCAGTATGACCTCATCTTACCCCACCTGCAAAGACTATTTCCCAGCCAGGTTCTGGGTGGATGTGAATTCGGGGGAACCCTGTTCACCCCGGGACAGAGGGTGAGAGGAAAGCGGTGGTTCGGGAAGGGTCGGGGCTGGTGGCCCACTCTTCAGACCCCTGCCTCCCACAGGCTGGCCGGAGCCCTGGACGTCTCCTCCTGCCCCCAGAGCCGGAAGGACGCGCTCTACACCAAGGCGCAGGAGGCCTTCGGCAGCAGCAGGACCCCGGCAGCCTACTACCGCCTCATGCGCCCCTACCTCGGTGAGCCCTGGCCGTGGGTGGGCACCCCCTGGAAGCCCCGCCCCTGCTCACCCCTGTCCCGTAGGCGGTGCACCCGCGGAAGAGCTGCGGCAGCTGGCCCAGGCCAACATCTCCATGGACATTGACACCTTCACCAGCCTGAACCCTCGTGTGCTGCAGGTGGGGCCTGGCTGCCCCATGGGGGTGGGGGTCAGGGCTGGCCCAGGCGGAGCAGCCCTAGGTCACAGGTCACGGCCGGCACACCCCCATAGGCCCGCTCCAGGCCGTTTCTGGGCCTCATTCCTGCCATCTGCCCAATCCCGGGGCTGTGGGTCTTCCCCTGGCCCGGGAGGTGCCCCATGGACCCTCCGACCCCGCCCCTCCCCGCAGAGCCTGGATGTTGGCACCGTGATTGCGCTGCTGGGTCCCAACGTGGGGGACCTGCAGAAGGCACGCAGCCACCCCGCCGTCAGGTCCTGGCTCCGCAGCCTCAGTAGCTCCGCCCTGGGCCAGCTGGGCCTGGACATGGACCCCACCAGCCCCACCGGCTCAGCCCACACCACCAGCAGGCCCTCCGGCACCACACCCCAGGCGCCCCATCTGGCCCTCACCTTGGCCCTGCCTGGGAGTGCTGCCCAGGCCTCCACCTCAGGTATGGGCCCCGCACTCCTCTGGCTCTCGGCCACCCCTGCCCGGGGCCCGCAGGCCCCGTTCCCTGCCTCGCAGCCACGCCCACACGCCACGCACCTGCTTTGTCCACTGCCCCCTGGGATGACGCTGGCGGACCCCGGCGTCACCCTGCGTTGCCCACCAAGTTATTTAGAGACGCAGCTGCCTCCCGAAAACACGGTGCAGCAGAAAGGAGGGGGTGGGAAAGCTGGGAGACCCTTGTTGGTTCCCAGAAGCCCAGCTGCAGGCAGGGTTCTCACCGGCTGTCCCCGCCCTCCCCAGCCAGAGGGAGGGGCTGCTCAGGCCTGTCTGGCTCCACTGACGATGCCCCCCCTGTTCCATCTACAGGCGGCCTGTGGGCCCCGCTGGGGTACCTGCCCCTGGCAGTGGCCCTGCCCTCCAGCCTCCTGTGGCTGCTGCACTCGGGGGCCTGAGGACCCGCCCTGCACTGCTCCCCAGGCACCTGTACCCTGGGTTCTGTGGACGGTCCTGCCTCGGGGTGGCTGGGTTCACAGGGGTCAGGGGTAGGAAAAACAGGGCTGCTGGGTGCAGCAGGATGCCCACTTGGGCTGAGGGGGCAGGCTCTGAGCCAGGCCAACTGGAGGTGGCTCACACACACACATCCACAGGTCCAGACTGCCCATAGAAGACGCCGTCCGGGCCCTGCAGGGGTGCGGGAGCTGGGGCTGGGGCTTCGAGCCACTGACTTTGATGGTGGATGTGAATTAAAGTCCAGGGTGGTGTTCCCACCTGTGTCTGTGCTTGGGGCCTAAGCAGGGGGGGTACAGGGATGTCCTAGCTGCCCAGCCTGTGAGGACAAGGGCACAGGACTCCCACCACTGTCTGCTAGGGCCACCCTGTGTACTGGCCTGGCCCCCAGCCCGGGGACAACAGGGTCAGGAAGGCCTCCAAGGGCCCCCACCTGGCCTGGGGGCCAAAGACCAGAGGGAGAGGAGCCAAGCTGATGGGGCCAGGCTGATGATGGGGCCATGCTGATGGGGTCACACAAAGTCCTCAGAGGCCACAGGGTATGTCTGCAGGGGGCATATCCCCGTTTACTGAGGCCAAGTTCTCCTGGTGTGGAACAGGGACCAGCCAGGCGGGGATCCCCAGTGGTGCTGGGGCCAGGAACGGAGCGGGGGTCTCAGCAGGCCAGGGTGGGGGCCAGGAGCAAGGCCAAGACGGTGAGCACAGGTCCGGGCCCTAGCAGGCAGGGCGTCCCCGAGAGAGCCTCTGCGGAGACAGGGGAGCCTCAGAGCGCCCCCCTCCACGCCCCCAGCCCCGCCCAGGCCACCCGCCCACCTCACACACCTCGCACGCCACGGTCCAGGATGAGGTAGCCGTTGGGGATGCCGCCCTGCAGCCCCAGCCCCAGCGTGTCCAGGTCGTCTTGCCGCTGCCGTAGGATCCAGTCCCGTACCGGGCTGTGCCGCTCCTCGGCCTTCAGGCCCTCCACGTGGGGTCCCAGAAGTTTCTGCACCTCAGCCACGGTCAATGGCTGCCAGAGAGAAGGTATCCTTCCCACGGCGCCCCAAGGGCTGCCAGACAGAGGGCATCCTTCCCACAGCGCCCCAAGGGCTGCCAGACAGGGGGTATCCTTCCCATGGCGCCCCAAGGGCTGCCAGACAGAGGGTATCCTTCCCACAGCGCCCCAGGGGCTGCCAGGGTCTCTTGTGTCCAAACCGCCCCGCCCACAGATGCCCAATGCAGCCCCTCTGGACTCAGGGGCTGCCCTTCCTGTGGCCCCGCCCCCTGTGGCCCCGCCCCCTGTGGACCCCCCTCCTTGAATCCAACCCCTGTGGAGCCCCCTGCGGACCTGCCTTCCATTCCCTCCAGCCCACACTTGCCCCCTCCTCCGTGCGCCCCTTCCCCGGGGCTCCTCCGTGCACACCCCTCGTCACGCCCGCCATACCAGCACCGCTTCCGTCCGCAGCTTCATGAACGTGGCCAAGTCCATGCTCACATTCCGCTGACTGAGTAGCTTCAAGTCCTCTGCGGGGGCTCCACCTGCCCACAGGGTGAGAGGCCCCCAGCTGAGGCCTTACCTCACACCTGCAGCCCCTCCTGGACCCCAGGCTGCAGGAAACTTGCATTACAGGGGTTCCCCGTTTCCTTAGGGATTCCAAGGCCTGGGTTTTCCTGGCCACCTGACCCTCTGAGACATGGGAGATGCTGGAGGTAGCTGAAGCCCAGAGCTGCGGTCAGAACCCACAGCGTCTAAGGCTACCCATACCCCGGGGGCAGCAGGGGCTGACCACCCAGTTACCCTGGCAGCCTGAGTGAGGCCTGTAGCCCCTCGCCATGTTGTGTGGCCACCCTGGCCAGGGGCTCCCCGGCTCACCCAGGAAGGACCGGATCTTCGAGAAGTATTCGGACCCATTCACGTTCTGGAAAGCGAGCCGAGCCTTGGGATAGAGGACCTCTAGCTGCCTCGGGCCACACGTGTCCAGGTCCTGGGGCCTGACCGCCCTGGGGACAGGGTGCATGGGCAATGAGTGCCAATACATGGGCCCACCTAGCCGTACAGAGCTCAGGGGACTCACCAGATGAGGCTGGGGGGCACGGAGCCCAGCTGCTCAGGGCTGAGGGAGCACAGGTACCCAGGGTAGAAGGCAGTCAGGGTGTCCAGGGTGTCTTTGTCCAGCTGCCTCCTCCCCATCAGGAAATGGTCAATCAGGGTGGCCACCTGTGGGAGGAGGCCACTGAGGAGCCTTGTGGCAGGGAGAGATGGAGCCCTCCACCACCAGCACCACCTCAGGCTGTGCCCCCACCAGGCCTGCACAACCTCAGGCTTCATCTCCCCCCTGCCCCTCAGGCCTGCACAACCTCAGACTGTATCCCGACCCAGGCCTGCACAACCTCAGACTGTGTCCCACCCCCAGGCCTGCACAACCTCAGGCTCTGCCCCCCACAGCCCTCTGTCATCCTACGTGCCCCCTGAGGCAGATGGTCACCTGAACACTCATTTCATGCCCCTTGCTGACTTTGAGCAGAGCCTTCAAGGTCTCCAGGGAGGTCACATTCCACTTTCGAATGTCCTCAGGGCTCATCTTGAGGAAGAACTGGCCCAGGTGCTGGATCACAGGCTCGGGGTAGCCCTGTGGGTACAGCTGCAGACCACAAGAGCAGGAGGGCCACGTTACCCCCAGGGTGGCAGGGGTGGGAAGCGGAACAGCTCCTTTCTACAGTTGCCTTTCTTGTTAAAAGGTTAAGTGTGCTAATAACTCTTTGTTAAGTCCTATCCTATGGAGCTGGTAGACACGCCATGCTTACAGGCACGTAGTACATTCTATGTCCTTGTACTTTAACCAGGATATCTGTGCTGGACGTGCTCACAGGCCTGTCCCAGCTCTCCCTTGCTTTTATCTGTTTAGAAAAGTTTTAAGTTGTAGGGCCGGGTGCAGTGGCTCACGCCTGTAATCCCGGCACTCTGGGAGGCTGAGGTGGGTGGATCACGAGGTCAAGAGATCGAGACCATCCTGGTCAACATGGCGAAACCCTGTCTCTAACAAAAATACAAAAAATTAGCCGGGCATGGTGGTGCGTGCCTATAATCCCAGCTACTCAGGAGGCTGAGGCAGGAGAATTGCCTGAACCCAGGAGGCGGAGGTTGTGGTGAGCCGAGATCGCGCCATTTGCACTCCAGCCTGGGTAACAAGAGCGAAACTCCGTCTCAAGAGGAAAAAAAAAAAAGAAAAAGAAAAGTTTTAAGTTGTTAGCCAATTTCGAGTTTTAGTTTAGATTGTGAGGTCTGGCTTCAGCCGACGGAGATCAGACACAGCAGAAAGGACAACCCCAGCCGGGCGCGGTGGCTCACGCCTGTAATCCCAGCACTTTGGGAGGCCGAGGCGGGTGGATCACGAGGGCAAGAGATCGAGGCCATCCTGGTCAACATAGTGAAACCCCGTCTCTACTAAAATACAAAAATTAGCTGAGCATGGTGGCGCATGCCTGTAGTCCCAGCTACTCAGGAGGCTGAGGCAGGAGAATTGCCTGAACCCAGGAGGCAGAGGTTGCGGTGAACCGAGATCGCGCCATTGCACTCCAGCCTGGGTAACAAGAGCAAAACTCCGTCTCAAAAAAAAAAAAAAAAAAAAAGGCCGGGCGTGGTGGCTCAAGCCTGTAATCCCAGCACTTTGGGAGGCCGAGGCGGGTGGATCACGAGGTCAAGAGATCGAGACCATCCTGGTCAACATGGTGAAACCCCGTCTCTACTGAAAATACAAAAAATTAGCTGGGCATGGTGGCGCGTGCCTGTAATCCCAGCTACTCAGGAGGCTGAGGCAGGAGAATTGCCTGAACCCAGGAGGCGGAGGTTGCAGTGAGCCAAGATCGCGCCATTGCACTCCAGCCTGGGCAACAAGAGCGAAACTCCGTCTCAAAAAAAAAAAAAAAAAAAAAAAAAAAGAAAGGACAACCCCAAACACATGAGGGATAAACGTGTGCGTTTTCCTGTGTTCACCATACTCTCGTGGCAAGGTGGCCAGTGAGGTACCCTTCCTGCAGTCCAGGAAGTAAAAGGTGCGCTGCTGAAGGATTGTCTGTCTCAGTGCTAGTTTTTCCTGCGCACCGAGCATGTTTCCAACACTGGAGGTGGCCTGGACGCCGCGGGCGGCAGGAACCCGGGTCGTGAGCTACCTCGTCCAACTTGTGCTTTAGGATGCCCAGCTGCTCATAGGTGAAGGGGATGGCGTCCACGCGGTCTATCTGGGTGGCCAGCAGGGACGCGTTCACACAAGCTTCCAGCTCCCAATTCTTGTAGAAGATGAGGTTTTCATCTATCTCAAGGACCTCCTTGCCTGGGGGACAGGCCTTCTCTGGAGGGTACAGGGGTCAGGGATCAGGGGCTGGACTTTGTTTGACCCCTTCTTCCTCCCACGCCCGCAGAGAGATGAGATCTTAGGCAATTTGTGATCCTCTCTGTGCCTCAGTTTACCCACTGGCAAAACAGCGGGATTCTGTCCACTCTTTGTCGTTACAATGAGATGTGCTGCGGAGCCAGGGAGCGGGCAGGTGAGACCCTCAACTGCAGCTGCCCACCCCCAGGGTGCGGCCCAGCCTGCTGCTGGACAGCACGGGGCCCGGCTCTCACTCTCCATGTCCCGCCGGAGCCTCGGACGGAGGGCGGTCCGTTCAGGCTGCCGCCAGGATGGGTCTCGAGAGGTGCGTTTCCGCCATGCAGCCACGACGCCCTGAGGATGAGCAGGGCCCCGGCTGAGCCTCGGGTGGCTGGGTGTACCCTCGGGCTGGGGGTCAGGGTCTTACCTGCGGGATGCTGCGGACGACGGGCTGGCCCAGCACGGGGAGCAGGCCCCGCAGAGCGTCCAGGGTGGAGGCTGACCACGTCGACGGGGGGCTGCACAGACATGGGGCACAGCTCAGGGACCCCCAGATGCAGCCCCAGACAGAGAGGGGGGAGACAGCCAGGCCGCACGGTGCCTCCGGCTGTGGAGGGGACGCTGGAAGCACTGGCAGGGGTTGTGGCGAGCCTGGGCCTCCAGGCGGGGCGGTGGGTGTCCGCATTCAGGGCTGCTCACGCCACACCACCAGGCAAGCCTTCGAGGTTCCAGACACTTTCGCTTACCCGTAGGGGGGTCCTCCGCCCTGCAGAGCTGCCCGGGCCGCCTCCTGCTGCTCCTGGTCCAGGGGTCCCAGGCAGTGCACCAGCCGGGGTAGCACCGCCTCTGCCGACTCGGCCACAAAGCGCCCGGGCAGGTCGCACGCCAGGCCTCCCAGAGCACGCACGTCGGCCTCGCTCAGCAGAGCCCCCCGCACGCCCTGCACAGAGGTGGCCTCAGCGCCTTTGCAGCAGCAGAGGTCTCCCCCTGCACCACCCCGCACCCACCGCGCCGGGCCTTACCCGGCAGGCCAGGGCCGCGGGCAGCAGTCGCCGTCGCTCAGGAGCCCCCCGAGGGAGCAGGTCCACATTGGCCTTTGAGACGCGGGAGAAGAAACGGGTGCAGGCCTGGGACCCTGAGAACGCGGCCGGGCTGTGGAGAGAGGGTGCCGGGGACGGGCTGCACTAACCACACCGTCCCCACCTGAGAGGGGGTTGGGCTGGCCTCCATGGCTCTGCTGTGGCCTGGGGTCCAAGGCAGGAGGCAGGGGGCAGGGGGCAGGGGGCAGGGGGCAGGGGGCAGGGCCTACTTGAGGAAGAGCAGCAGGTCCGGTGGGAGGGCATCCAGGTCCTCGGGGGGCTCAGAGAGACGGTGAGCCAGACAGCGCAGCTGCAGGGATCAGGACATCCAGCACAGAGCGTTCCAGGCCACCGTCCATGTGACAGGGCCAGGGTTGCCCGGCCGGTCCACCCACCACGACACACCCCAGCGCTGGTCACAGGAATCTGAGGGAATCCGTGGCAGCGGGTCTCTGGCTACCCGTGGCGCTACCCAGGGGATGACAGCGACTGTGCCTGGCCTGGGCCGCACAGGCTGGAGCTGACTGCCGCTCCCCTCCCCTGGTCTTACCTACTCCCCGAAAAAGATTCACCCTTGGGCTGGCACGGGGCTCCAGGAGGAGGCCCAGTACACAAGGTCGTCTCAGACTTGCTCCTGGGGAGCCGGCCCCTGACGTGGACAGGCAGCCTAATGGTCAGCTTTGGTGGCCAGAGGAACTCTTGGAAGAACTGGCCAGGGAGAGATGGCAGTGGGGACAGCGGGGACAGTGGGGACAGCGGGGGCAGTGGGGACAGCGGGGGCAGCAGGGGCAGTGGGGACAGCAGGGACCATGGTGGCAAGGTGGGCATGGGAGAGCTGCCTGTGCATTCATTAGCCCCAGCTCTGCCCACCTGCTGCAGCCCAACGGGACTGACCTGCTCTGCTGAGAGCGTGACATTCTTCTGTCCCAAGGACACAGCCAGCTCCCAGACACTCTCCGGGCTCAAGGCAGACACCTCCGCACACGTGAAGCCAAGGAGGCCGCCAGGGGAGAGGCTGCAGGAGGGGCCGGGCTGGGCACCAGGATCCCTCTCCCACACAGTCAGTGCCCACCTGGTGCTCCCCAAGCCCCGTAGACCCACCACTTCCCGAAGGATCCTGGTGGTCTCTGCAGACCCCCCAAGGCCAGGACACCCTCAAGGGCTGGGCGTTGCCATCACCTAGGGGGTGTCAGTCCCTCCCACAGTCCTGAGCCCAGTGAGATCAGCAGTGGAGCAGAGGAGAAAGGGGGAGGAGAGGGGTCGGGGAGGGGACGAAGGGGGAGGGGATGGGGGAGGGAGAGGATTAGAGGGGAGAGGATGTAGGGAGAGGGGACATGGGGACTTGGGGGAGGGGACAGAGGAGGAGACATAGGAGAGGGGACATGAGTGAGGGGATGGGGGAGGGGATGGGGAAGGGGAAGGGGAGGGGAGAAGATAGGAGAGGGAAAGGAAAGGGGAACGGGAGGGGGAGGGGGAGGAGGGGGAGGGAGGGGGGAGGGAGAGGGGACATGAGGGAGGGGACATGGGAGAGGGATGGGCAGGGATCAGGGAGGGGATGGGAAGGGGATGCCGGGAAGGGGACGCAGGGGGAGTGGATGCAGGGGGAGGGTATGCAGGGGGAGGGACGTGGGGGAGGGACACGGGGGAGGGGACACGGGGGAGGGGACGCTGTGGGGAGAGGGGAAGATGTGGGGAGAGGGGATGCTGGGAGACAGAAGACTTGGGGGGCAGGGCACCCAACCCACCCTCAGTCCCCAGGGCCCCTTGAGCCTCATCCTCCAGGGCTGTGAGGACTCCAGACCCACCTGGCAATGTTACGCGTGTTGGCCAGGACTCGGTCCAGGGGCGCAGCCTCCTGGGGGCACAGGGCCTGCTGACTGTGGCTCCGCCCAGCTCCCTGGAGCAGGTGTTCCCAGGGTTCCCCACCCCTGGTCCCAGGTACTCCCTGAATTTAGCTACTTCCCAGGCCCAGTGTCCGGGACCCATGGGCTTAGCTATTGGCTACTTCTGGGCCAGCTACTTCCTCCGCCCAGCTACAAGGTGGGCTCTGCTACTCCCCGGGGCCGGGCTGCTCCCAGGCCAGGCATGTGCAGGTCCAGGTGCCCCTTTGTAAGTGGGGACCTCTGAGATGGGCAGGCACCGTGGATATGTGTTCCCGTGTACATGACAGACAGAACACGGCAAGGCATACCCCTCCCCCGGGACCTGAGACCCTCCCTGCGTCCCCAGAGGTGATCTTACCTGCCCTGTCTCTCCGGCCCAAGCCTTCCAGGGCTGCACCCATCCTGAAGGAGCAGAGGGGACAGTTTGGAGGGGGGCCTGGGCCTCCGGAGTGTGCCCCGACCCGGGGAAGGAAGGAAACAGAGCCTGACCACTCCCAGAGCCACCAGCCCTGTGCATGCCCCAAAGTGGTGGAGGCCAGTTGCTCAGGCCCCTGGACTTCAGTCCCCCAGGCACCGGAGCCCGGCCTTCCACATCACCCCTGGGACCCGCTGCTTGTCCGGTTAGATGCCCATCCCGACATCCCCACTGCCGCCTGAGCCCCACCAGGGGAGAGACAGCTGCTGGAGCTCGGGACACCCGCCCACCTCGGGCAGAGGGCAGGGGCGGGCGAGCCTTGCCGAGGGCCCCTGGTCCACCAGCAGCGATGCTGAATACCCACCGAGGCTGAGGAGCAGGAACGGCAGCCTGCCAAGGGCGGGGCTCCCGCAGGACCGCCACAGGGGTCGAGCCGTTGGCAAGGCCATGGTCTGTGTCTGTGGGGGGCAGTGGCTTAGGACGGGACTCCCCCGGCCTGTTCCCACCCCATGCCTCTGTCCCAGGCCAGCCTGGGGCCATGTGGGCCCAGCAGGGGCTCCCAGGGCCAGCCTCCATGGCACCTGCAGTTTGTGTCCAAGCCTTGGCCCTGCCCTCCAGCCGCAGAGCCCTCTGCCCCCTGCCCTGACTAGCTCCTCCTGCCCAGGGGAGGGGCTGGGTCTAAGAGCCTGGTCCTCAGCCCAGACAGCCCAGGCCTCAGTTGACACCCACCCTCTCCCAGAAGGGCAGGGCAGGGTGGGGAAAGTTTAGAGCAAGCACCCAGCTGGCTCAGGCTGGTGTCAGTCCCCTCAATCGTGAAGAGGAAATCGCAGGTGTGGGGTGTACTCAGCGGCGCCCTCGTCTGGACGAGACTCCCTCCCCCCTCCCCTCTCCCCTACCCTCAGCTGCAGGTGCCTGGGCTTTGTGAATGCCCTGAGCCCTGCTAGGCAAACACCACCCTTGAGGCAGGAGGGGCGCTGTGGGGACAGAGGGCACCACCCCTTCCCACCTGCTAGCAGTGCCCCCCCCACCCCCCGCCTCTCGGAGGTGCAGCCCGGGTGAGGGGGGCTGGGCATGTGAGCAGCCTGGGGATCCCTTGTCCTCTCCAGGGTGGGGTCTGTGGGCCAGTGTGGGACAGGGAAGGGGCTGGGTAGACCCTCCCTGGACAAGAACTGTCCTCCTGGGGTACGAGTGGGGCCCATAGGAGAGGGAACCAGCTTGGACACTCACACCTTTCAGGGAGGCCAGCGTGGCTCGGGAGAATTAGAGCTGCCTCCCAAAAACCCTGGCCCGGGTCCACCCACAGCTCAGAAATGGGGTAGCACCCTCATACTCAGCTGCTCTGTCCACGGGCAGAGCCCGCCTGGTCAGCCCAGCCACTGGGGAATGTCACAGGGAGCCCCAGGGTCCCCAGGCCCCTATTCCCCACAGTCCCCAGAGGAAGTGGGGAGCCCTGAGGAAGAACACCTTGACAAGGTGGAAGAAAACCAGACCCCCAGCCAGAAAATGAGTGGTGGGGTGGGACTCAGTCCTTGGGGTGCATGAGGCCAGGCAGAAAACGTGCCCATCAGATCACAAGAGACCTGGGCACACCCCAGCCCAGCCCCAGGTGAACCAAGGACCTCAGCAGCTGGGGTGGGGGCTCTCCTGGAGCCTGGCCCTTCCTGCTCTGTGGGGCCTCTGTGGGCCCTGGAATCCGAGTCCTTCACACCTACAGGGAGGCTGGGGCCTTCGGGGAGCCGCTTCCAAACCAAGGAGTCTGAGAGCACCCTGCAGGGTAAAATCAGGTCCAGCTGAAGCCTGACCATCGCTCCATGCTGACCTGGGGCAGCCCAGTTCTCCAGGTGGAAGGCGAGGAGGATTCCACCCACACCACAGCAGGAAACGCTCCAAGGTTGTTACTTACAGATCCCAGGGCAGGAGGCACAGTGGGTCCGTGTGCAGCTGTCTGTCCTTGAGTCACAGCAGTGGGGAGTGGCCAGCCAGGCAGAGACCGGAGAGCGTGGCACCAGCAGCACCCACGGCGAACAGGACGGCCCCTTCAGGTCTCCGGCCAGTGCCCACGTGGTTCTCCAAAGGGCAGTGGGAAAGGGGGAGCCCAGCACCCCCCAGGCCGCCGAGGGCTTCTGCGCAGTTGGGTAGGGAGGGAATCCCCTCACGCCCAAGGGGCCCCTCCCAGAGTCTCCGTGGGCCCTGCCTGGGGCAATGCTGACCGAGACCGTGATTGGCCACACCTGAGCCTCCTCTGCCTCGGTTTCCTCAACTGGGAAGTGGGTGTGGAGAGCCTGGCAGCCTCCCAGGCCCTCAAGGGGAACAAATGATGGCTTTGCCTGGGGCGGCTGGGAGCGGCTGCTGCACCTCACGCCGCAGGAATGTGTGGGTGGAGACCCCAGCAGGAGCCGCAGAGGGCAGGCACCGGCCAGGGCCCCCACCTGGGGGAGAAGGGGTGCCGGGAAGGCAAAGCTGCCCTTGGCGGGCGTGGGTGGGAGCCCCGGGCCCACGCTTCATGCCTCTCTGGATTTTGGGGTGGTGAAACCGGGGGCGGAAGGGGGAGAGGTGGCAGTCCCAGGTCAGCATGCTCAGGACGGTGGCCACACAGTCCAGACAGGACTCCTGGGAGCGCGTTCCTGACCCAGGGCGGTGCAGTGTGGACCTCACGAGGCTGTGAGCCGTCCCTCTCGGGGCTGAAGACACAGGTCGGGGAGGCAGCTCCCACTCAGGGCGGGGGCCAGCTCCAGGCACACGCCTACCCCTTCCCTCGGGGGCAACTGGAACGGACCTGCCCCCGGGCACTCGCTGGCCTGGTGAAGTGGGGCCGGGTTCCCCTCCAGTTCAGGCTGGCTGCAGGCTGCTGGGGAAGAGCTGCTTCCCCTGAACTGGGACCACAGCCTGGGTGGGTGGCCTTGAAGCCAGAAGCCCCTCCCTGCCCCTGAAGCCCCTCCCAGAATGCCGTGAGCGCCTGTTCCCAGAGCGGAACGCCCCTGGGCTATTAACACCTGTGAAGGTTTCTGTTTGCTGAAGGGAGGTGTGCGCAGGGTCGTCTCTGATCATTTCCCATGAAGTGAGTTTTCTATGATGATTCTCGGTGGAACCCAACCCTCACGCACACAGAATTCAGCAGGGCTGCCAGGTGTTAAGCGTCAACTTACAAATGTCAAGAGCGGGTGAAGGACCTTTTAAAAAAAATCCCTCACGCCTGTAATCCCAGCTCTTTGGGAGGCCAAGGCGGGTGGATCACGAGGGCAAGAGATCGAGACCATCCTGGTCAACAAGGTGAAACCCCGTCTCTACTAAAAATACAAAATATTAGCTGGGCATGGTGGCGCGTGCCTGTAATCCCAGATACTCAGGAGGCTGAAACAGGAGAATTGCCTGAACCCAGGAGGCGGAGGTTGCGGTGAGCCGAGATCGCGCCATTGCACTCCAGCCTGGGTAACAAGAGCGAAACTCCGTCTCAAAAAAAAAAAAAAAAAAAATCCCTTCTACAGAAAACAACTGAAAAATTCCAGAACAACTGTAGAAAACCAGTTACCCAAGGGTTCTGGGGAGGAGACTGACAGGTAAAGGCGGGTACCAGCTGGGAGTGGCATCTCCTTCGTGTCCACGAAGCTTTGCCCTGGAGGATCCGCAGGTCTGCCGTGGCGCTGTGAAGTGGCCCGGACTCCCACGAAACCCACCACTTTCCCGGCCAAAGGAAACCAAGGAAGGAGCCCAGAATACCCAGGGCCCGGAGCTCAAGGAGAGGCCTGGACCAGAGGCGCCAAGGAGGGGCCACAGACCCAGCTGAGCTCTCAGCAGGAGCCGTGGCTGAGCCCACGTGCCTAGCTTAGCCCTGAACCAGCAGACTGCAAGCTGCCGACAATGAAGAAAACCTGCTCTGGCCAGTCTGGACTCGGCCTTCGACCAGCACCATGGGAGGCCGAGGTGTGAGGATCAGTTGAGGCCACAAGTTCGAGACCAGCCTGGGCAACATAGTGAGACTCTATCAAGAACTTAAAAATGAGGCCATGCGCGGTGTCTCACACCTGTAATCCCAGCACGTTGGGAAGCTGAGGTGGACAGATCATGAGGTCAGAAGATCGAGACCATCCTAGCCAACAAGGTGAAACCCGTCTCTACTAAAAATACAAAAAATTAGTAGGTGTGGTGGCACGTGCCTGTAGTCCCAGCTACTCAGGAGGCTGAGGCAGGAGAATCACTTGAACCCGGGAGGCACAGGTTCCAGTGAGCCGACATGGCACCACTGCACTCCAGCCTGGGTGACAGAGCAAGACTCCAGCTCAAAAAATAAAAAAAAAGCCGGGCGCGGTGGCTCATGCCTGTAATCCCAGCACTTTGGGAGGCTGAGGTGAGTGGATCACGAGGTCAAGAGATCGAGATCATCCTGGTCAACATGGTGAAACCCCGTCTCTACTAAAAATACAAAAAATTAGCTGGGCATGGTGGCTCGTGCCTGTAATCCCAGCTACTCGGGAGGCTGAGGCAGAAGAACTGCCTGAACCCAGGAGGCGGAGGCTGCGGTGAGCCGAGATCACGCCATTGCACTCCAGCCTGGGTAACAAGAGCGAAACTCCGTCTCAAAAAATAAAAAATATTAGCTGGGCATGGTGCCTGTAATCCCAGCTACTCAGGAGGCTGAGGCAGGAGAATTGCCTGAACCCAGGAGGCGGAGGTTGCGGTGAGCCGAGATCGTGCCATTGCACTCCAGCCTGGGTAACAAGAGCGAAACTCCGTCTCAAAAAAAAAAATAAATAAAATAAATAAAAAATAAAATAAATAAAATTTTAAAAAAACAAATTGTACTGACGGTCACTGGCATTCATTCCAATGAGACAAGAAAAATATAAGAAACAAGGAGCATCAGAAAGAAAGGAGCCAAACTCTTTATTCGCAGATGGCGTGATTATTCACACATAAAGTTTCTAAGTACTAGAACTGCTGGCGAGGCTGGCAAGGTCACCGAATGTAAGGTTAATATCTGAAAATGAAGTGTCTTTGTATGTACCAGCAGCAAAACAACTGGAAAGCAAAATTTTAAAATCCAGTTGCAATCGCTCAAAAAATAAAATACTTAGAAATAAACCTAAAACATGTTCAAGACTTCCTCTGTGAAAATACAGGGAGCTGCTGAGAGAAAACAGAGCGGAATGAGTCAGCAGAGAACCATGCCCCACTCAGGAATTGGAAGGCAAACGTGACGACTCCAGTTCCCCCACACTGACCCAGGGATGGAGTCAATTCCGGCAGCCCTTTCTGAAGAAGTTGATGAGATGATTTAAAAACGTACATAGGGCCGGGTGCGGTGGCTCAAGCCTGTAATCCCAGCACTGTGGGAGGCCAAGGAGGGTGGATCACGAGGTCAAGAGATCGAGACCATCCTGGTCAACATGGTGAAACCCCGTCTCTACTAAAAATACAAAAAATTAGCTGGGCATGGTGGCGCGTGCCTGTAATCCCAGCTACTCAGGAGGCTGAGGCAGAATTGCCTGAACCCAGGAGGCGGAGGTTTCGGTGATCTGAGATCGCACCATTGCACTCCAGCCTGGGTAACAAGAGCGAAACTCTGTTTCAAAAAAAAAAAAAAAAAAAAAAAAAGAGCAAAAGATTTAAATAGATACATTACACACACAAAAAAAAACATACAAAAGCCAGGTGTGGTGGTGCATGCCTGTTATCCCAGCACTTTAGGAGGCTGAGGTGGGAGGCTCACTCGAGCCCAGGAGTTTGAGGCTGCAGTAAGCTATGACCACACCACCGCACTCCCATCTACTTGGGACGCTGCGGTGGGAAAAGAACTTGAGGCCAGTTTGAGGCCACAGCGAGCTGTGACCACGCCCTGGGTGAAAACTTCCTCTCAAAAAACACACGCCACACGACCAGCCCACATGTGAAAAGGTGCTCATCATCATGACTCATCAAATGCAAATGAGATCCCAAATGAGTCGCTGCCCGTCACACACCCACTTGACATGACTCATTGAGGAAATGCAGATTCAACCCAGTGAGAAATCCACAGTGAGACACGGCTCATCACACACCCACTACGGTGCCTAAATTTAAGAGGACTGACACTGACAAGTGTTGGCAGGGATGTGAAGCAACCGGAACTCTTGCAAGCTGCCGCTGGGAGTGAAAATCGATACAGGCACTTGCATTTAGCACTTTCTTAAGAAGTTAAACTTGGCCGGGCGCGGTGGCTCATGCCTGTAGTCCCAGCAATTTGGGAGGCTGAGGCGGGTGAATCACCTGATGTCAGGAGTTCCAGACCAGCTTTGCCAACATGGTGAAACCCCGTCTACTAAATATACGAAAATTAGCCGGGCATGGTGATGCACACCTGTAATCCCAGCTACTCGGGAGGCTGAGGTGGGAGAATCGCTTGAACCTGGGAGGCACAGGTTCCAGTGAGCCAAGATCACACCACTGCACTTCAGCCTGGGCAACAGTGAGACTGCAAAAATAAATAAATTTTAAAATAATAAATCAATAAATAAAAATTTTGGCCAGGCTCAGTGACTCACGCCTGTAATCCCAGCACTTTGGGAGGCCAAGGCAGGCAGATCACCTGAGGTCAGGGTTTTGAGATCAGCTGGTTCAACATGGAGAAACCTCGTCTCTACTAAAAATACAAAAATTAGGCCAGGCGCGGTGGCTCAAGCCTGTAATCCCAGCACTTTGGGAGGCCAAGGCGGGTGGATCACGAGGTCAAGAGATGGAGACCATCCTGGTCAACATGGTGAAACCCCGTCTCTACTAAAAATACACACACACAAAAAAAAAATTAGCTGGGCATGGTGGCGCGTGCCTGTAATCCCAGCTACTCAGGAGGCTGAGGCAGGAGAATTGCCTGAACCCAGGAGGCGGAGGTTGCGGTGAGCCGAGATCGCGCCATTGCACTCCAGCCTGGGTAACAAGAGCAAAACTCCATCTCAAAAAAATAAAAATAAAAATAAAAATACAAAAATTAGCCAGGCATGGTAGCACACGCCTGTAATCCCAGCTACTCAGGACGCAGAGAATTCCTTGAACCCGGGAGGAGGCTGCAGTGAGCCGAGATCATGCCGCTGCACTCCAGCCTGGGTGGTACAGTGAGACTCTGTCTCAAAAAAAAAAAAATGACTAAAGTCGGGCACAGTGGCTCACACCTGTAATCCCAGCACTTTGGGAGGCCGAGGCAGGCAGCTCACTTGAGGTCAGGAGTTTGAGACCAGCCTGGCCATCACGGTGAGACCTGTCTCTACTAAAAATACAAAAATTAGCCAGAAACTGCTTGAACCCAGGAGGCAGAGGCTGCAGTGAGCTGAGATCATGCCACTGCACTCCAGCCTGGGTGACAGGAGACTCCATCTAAAAAAAAAGAAAAAAAAAAAA